CTCTCAGCCGGGCTTGGTGGCTCAGCTTGTAATCCTGCGCCTTTGGGAGGCTGAGGTGAGTGGATTATCTGAGCCCGCAGGTTCAAGACCCGCTTGGGCAGTGAGACCTCATCTCTACAATAAATCAAAAAATCAGCCGGGCGTGGTAGCGCATGCCTGTAATTCCGGCTACTTGGAAGGCTGAGGAGGAAGGATCACCGGAGCCCGGCAGGTCGAAACTGCGGTGGCCGGGAGCGGCCACTGCACTCCAGTCTGGGTGACAGAGTGAGACTCCAACTCAAAAAAAAAAAAAAAATCTTTGGCTCTCATTCTGTTTTAAGATGTAAGAAAGGGATATGTTCTCAGGGTCTCAACAGAGAAGACTCCAGTACTTTTATTTTTTAAATCAATGTCCATGCTCAAAATGCCAGAGAAAATGAGAGATGATGTTAAATGCCGGGCCAGGGACTAGTGTTAAATACAGGTGACCCAGTGTTTAAGTACAGGGTCTTGTTCTGTTACCCAGGCTGGAGTACAGTGGTGCAGTCATAGCCCACTGTAGTCTCAAACTCCTGGGCTCAAATGATCCTTCTGCCTCAGCCTCCAAAATAGCTGGGATTACAGGCGTGAACCATCACACCTGACACTCTCTAGTGTTTCTAAACCTGACTTCAAAGGTATAATTAAGAGCTAGATTTTTGGTTAGACAAATTTGGATTTAAATCCCACCTCTGCCACCACTGCACACTGCTATCACTGCCATCACTATCCTACCATTGCACACTGCTGTGTGACCTTGGACATGTTACATAATTTCTCTCACCTTTAGTCTTGCATCTAGAAAAATGGTGGTATGTTAGGAAGCTGTGTCAGGAGAGTATGTGAAGAGGACAGCCTAAGATGTAGTGCACTTAATATAGTGCCTCACGCTTAGTGGGTACTCAATAAGTGGTGAATATTTGCGGTTTCAGAGCCGAATTCTAATGATCCAGGGAAGTATGCCAGCTAAGGGACTGCTTGACATGATGCTTGTTACTGCTTATGGAGACAGAGACTCTTATGGGTGCAGTAGTAGGGAAACATTTTGTCCCACTAGCGCTGGTCTCAGCTTCCAGCTTCTTTTTTTGTGTTTTTTTAAAAAGCAACATTTCTTCTCATATGGGTTTGGGTCTTGTTTCTAGGGAGACCAAAGAAGGTGGAAGAATTGTTGTGGAAGTTGATGGCAAAGTGGCAAAAATCAGGAATTTAAAGGTAAGCCTGAAATTGTTTTCCATTTTCTTTCTACTGAAGAGCTAATATTACAGAGTCTTCCAGAGTGAAGGTGTATACGTGAATGTGTTTAGACTTGGGAAGGGAAGGGTATATAAGAGGAATTGTTGCAGGAGCTTGGACCAGTCATGAAGCAACTTAAAAAATAAACCAAGAGGCCGGGTTCGGTGGCTCAGCCTGTAATCCCAGCACTTTGGGAGGCTGAGGTGAGTGGATTGCCTGAGCCCGCGGGTT